AGGCAGGCGCTGTGCCGCTGAGCTAAATCCCCAGCCTCCTCAAAATACAATTTTAAAAAGGATGAGGATACAACTCAGTAGTAGATTATTGCCTGGCATGAGCAAGGCCCTGGGTTTAAAAAAAAAGTTTCAAAATATTTAAAGGGATACAAACATTCTGTCACTTGTACCTAGCTAATCCAGAATTTTACCATTTTGTTTTAAAGTCAGCTAAATAGGAGCCTTAATTCCATCTACTACCTTAATCCTCTTTTGGCATGTCATATGACAAATTTACAGGTTTGGGAATTAAGGTGTTGTTTCATAAATGTCCCAGAGTGACAGAAATGTCTGCCTCTCAACTGAGAGGGCCCTAACTATCCAAAGAATGACACAGACAAGTCCAGCATGGTGAGTAGATGTGTTTATTAAGGGTGATGTCTTGGTTATTTTTCTCTCGTTGCTGAGAAAAAAAAAAAAAAATCTGACACCCACAGTTAAGAGAAGAAAGGTTTATTTAGCTCGCAGTTTGTGGAGGTTTTAATCCATACTCAGGTGGCTCCAAGGCAGAGTGGTACATGGCAGAGGGCAACAGTTCATGGTGGCAGAAGATAGCGAAAGCAACAAGAGCAAAAGGGAGGAGCAGCAGCAAGCAAGCAAGCCTCTTTCCCTCGCTTATATTGTATATAAGCAGGCTACCCACCCAGTGCAGGGTGACTGTAGCACATATACCCATAACCCCAGCACTCACACTCATATTTCCAATGGACCATGAGTGTAGCACTCACACCCATAATCCCATTGGACCATGAGTCAATCAAAAACTCTAGAACCCCACCCCATGACTGCATGAGGTTTGGGGAGATATCCAGATACAAACCATAACAGGTAACTTCCCAGCAGTGGAGGACTGTGGGCTATGGCACTACTAAAGTCACCTTGCTATGCTACTGGTTTTATAGTGCAGTCATTAAACAGCAAAAGCAGGATTACAAGAAAGAAGGGCCCTCAGGGGAAGCTGAGTGTGCTCCACTCTCTCACACCCTTACTGGGGACTCGGGAGCTCTCAGTAAGCATGGTCAGCTGCAGTGGGGGATGACCTTGTGTTGTGCTGTAGACTGGTACATAGTTTCAGCACCCGGCAGTGGTCATGGGAAAGCTAAACAGTGGCTTGCTACAAGATGGAGGCACTTTGGCTAGGGTTTGGAGGACAACTGTCTCTAGGGATACAGGCATCTTTAGGGAGCCATTAATCTTGCTCCACACCTTTTTACAGGCCAGATTCCTGGGCCTTGCTTGGACATGGGATGAATCAATATCTGTGCTATCAGTAGTCGGCACTTAATAGGCTCCCCTGATAATTCTGAGGATTACATTTGATCAGGAATGGAAACCACCATTCCTGTGTGTCTCTGTGTGTGTGTGTGCCTGCACGCATGCTCGTGCGTGTGTGAACATGGCATGGTCTGTCTGAGTGTGACTTTGTTTGGTGTCTCCGTGTGTGATCTTACAACACATTATGTTAACATTATGCTTTAGTCCTCAGCTAAAACCTCACTGTCTAGCGGGTTTGATTGCAAGGCATACGGGGAGCGCGGGGCTCAGGGCAGGAGGTGGGGCCCGGGGAAAGGGTAGGCAGGTGGAGTGGAGGCAGGTGTTTGCTGGTCACAGACTTGTTTGCCTCCAAAGGGCCTCCTCCCCACACAGCCTCAGCAGCTACATCCTCCTCCTCCTGCTGCTCTGATAAGCTAGGAACCGCAGACGGGCCACTGTGCGGGGAAATGTCAGCCCAGTCTGAAGTGTGTGTGCCTGTGTGTGGGAGCGTGGGAGGCGGGGCCCAAGAGGAGAACCTGGCCCCGTTCTGTGGGTTCTTCTGACTCTTAGAAACTTGCCTTTCTGGTCCTGGCCACCTGCCACCCCCATGCTGCAGGTGGGATCCTGCTTGCTGCAGCAATCTGGGGTGGAAACAGGCACTTCTAGGTGTGCCTCTGCGAGGGCCTCCAATGCCTGCCTTCTGAGTCACTTGGGGCATGTTCGAGGGCCCTGCTGAAGTGTGCGCAGGAATCCTAGCTGCAGCGGAAATGTCTCTAGCAGATGGGGAGGAGCCGCTTGGTCGTGAGAAGAGCCGGAAGGTGAGGCTCTGACAACCCAGCATTTGGCGGCCCGGGGCTGTTCTCAGGGTGATGGCAGGTTTGGACTTTGCCCCGCACACGCGATCATTCTCCTCCGACCTGTTTGCTGAGCCCTCTTACTGTCTTCTTTCCAAGGCTGCACGCATACCCCTCTCCACACCTGTCCTCCACAGGTCTTGGTGTGGGTGGTTACCTCTCCCTGCGACACTTTCCCTCCCTCGCCCCCTTGTTGCTTTCGCTCCTCCTTCAAATGCCAGCTCTGTCACCAGGTCGTGAGCAGGCCCCCCCTGTGCTCCCTAAGCAAGTCTAGATTTCCCCACTATAAGTCTTCAAAGCGGCCTATCCCTCTTTCTCCACAGTTTTCATGATTGCTTCTCTTCCCTGGCTGCTTTCTGTTGGTTATCTCTCCCAGCAGCCTTGCATCCTCTGCCTTATATACGTAGGTGCTTAAAAATACTGGGTGGAGGATGAAGGGAGATGAATAGCTAAAAGGAGCTTCTTTAGCAGGAGTGAGCCTCCCATCACTGAGAAGCATTAAAGTGTAACCTGGGCACGCACCTGCAGGGCTGGAGGGGAGATGAGTCAGAGGGAGGTCCCAGAGGAGCTTTGGGTTCCTTTTGATCCCAAGAAACTGGAGGGCTGGGGAATCTCGAGAAATGATTAATGGGCTGTTTATTTCCTTCCAGGCTCAAGTTGATGGCTTCTTAATTCATCCTAAGGACTTTATTCTCCATTATTTCATTTTGTCCTCCATAAATCTCCAGTTTCCTCGTCATAAAATGGTGTGATAACAGCTAACTCATACCCAGCTCCCGGGATTCTATGTATTTTAAATGAGCAAAGGCTGATAGGTGCTTCCTGTTGTCTATGGGAGGAGGGATCTCCGGGGGCAGAGCTTGAGCTGAAGAGCTCCTCCTAAAAGGACGTTCTTAGGAATGTACTCTCTAGACCGGGGGGGGGGGGGGGGTGTCAGGACGTAGGATAGAGTGGGCAAAGAAAGCTAGATAAGGCTGTGACCTTGGCTGGTGTTCACCCAGTCTCATGAGGAGCTCTAAAATGTGAATTGCACCTTGACACTGGAGGGCTAACTTTCTGAGGTCCACAGTAGACAACGGTCATTGGGTAGTGTGTGCCATGTGTGCATTTGTGTGTGTGTGTGTGTGTGTGTGTGTGTATGAGAGAGAGAGAGAGAGAGAGACATCCCTTCCCAGGTAAAGAAACTTCTAGTTGGCCCAGGTCCATTCTGTAGAAAACAAGCACCTTCAGCATCCTCTGCAAACTCAAAGGCTCCTTCAGGGGTCTTCTGTTTAAAGGCCCCTTTTAGTCTTACTGGGATCAGGAGGGATCTCTTTTGACAGCAGCAGATCCATTCCATTCAGAGTCTACCCCAGGGTAGAAGCAGGACTTGAGCCCAGGCTGCCATCTGTCTGTCCACCCATCCATCCACCCATCTACCCATCCAATCATCCATCCATCCATCCATCCATCCATCCATCCATCCATCCATCCATCCTTTTATCCATTCACCCATCCATCCATCCATCCATCCATCCATCCATCCATCCATCCATCCACCCATCCATCCATCCATCCAAACATCCATCCATCTTTTCATCCATTCACCCACCCACCCATCCATCCCAGCTGCAGTGCTGAAGCTCACATGGCTTTTGGGGGTAAGAGTCTTGCCCTGCAGTGCAGTACGGGGAGACAGAACAAGGACTCCCTCTGCAGAGCCAGAGCCACGGACTTTTCCACAAACCTTCAGTTTCAGGGTTTGGGGAGGAACCCCAGGGGAGCTCCTATAAAGGTCCCCCTGGTTCCCACAAAGGAAGACAAGTTCCGGGTGATGCAAATGGCTAGGGGCTGCTGCAACCGCACCAGCCCCCACTGAGTGAAAGGGGAACTAACCAGTCAGGCAGATGACAGGCATTTCCTGCCTCAGGGTGCAAAAACTGACCAAGGGCCATCTGGACCTAGGGCCCCCTGGCCCTCTGTGTCACCAGCTAGCTCAGGTCCTTGCTTTGGACATAATAGAAATTAGAACTAAAGCACAATTTCACAGAGGAGGAAAGCTTTAATTAAAACGTAAGAGAAAATGGTGATCAAGGCAGCCCTTAATGAAGGAGAGTAAGAAGATAGAAAAGGACTCCTGCTTGAGCAGCTAGAGAGGCACATTCTACCCACACAGGCAGGAGGCCAGCTTTTAAGGCTCAGCTGGGTGGGGGCCATGTCTTGCTGGTCATTATCCCAGGCCTGATTTCATCACTCTGGAGGAATCCTCATGGTGTGAGGGGAATCCCCATGAGCAGTGATTGTCTCTTTTTTGGTGGCTTCAGTCATGTGAGACTCCCCTCCTGGGACCCACGTGACTACAGTTAGAGGACAATAGCTGGGGACTTTTAGATGTTGCTCCAAAGTGGGGTGGGTAGTTGTTTCTGGAACTGGCTGGTCATCAGATGACCCTTTAAATTCTGCAAACTGGGTCAGGGGTATAGCTTAGTGGCAATGGCACCTGCCTGGCTAGTGCGAGGTCCCGAGTTCAATTCCCAGTACAAAAAAAAATTCTGCAAGGTACTTAAATTACCTTTATCTTGATATCCCCTATCTTGAAAGGGAATGAGAGAGGGTAGATATACTTAAGGCTAATAAATCTTGTTTTGCTAATTTTTAGACAGACACTCCCTAGGTGACTAACATGTCTATATAGAAAGCAAAGAAGAATTTGACCCAGGGTTTTGAAAATGAAGGTCAAGCCTGGGCGTGGTGGCACACACCTGTGATCCTAATAGGAGGCTGGGGCAGGAGGTCACCATGAATTTGAGGCCAGGCTGGGCTGCATAGTGAGTTCAAGGCCAGCCTGAAATATATGAGATCCTGTCTTAACAAAAACAAAAACAAAAAACAAAAAACACCACCACAACAAAAAGAAAATAAAGGTCAGGCTTTGTTCTACTTTTAGTCACCTACTCAGCACTCGTAGGCCCCAATGAAGAGTCATGGCTTTTAGCAAAATCCACTTTTAAGTCCCTGCCTATCTTAGGAGAAAACAGAAGTCATGCTTTTGATGAGTAACAGGTTAAGGGACCAGGATTTTGTTCGTGCTTTGTCCCTGTGTCTGTGACTACATCACAACCATCTGAGCTGCTCATGCAGGTGCCGGGTACATGGGCCCTCAAAATGCACGTGCACACACAGTTGCAGCCACGTGTCTGAGACGAGCCCAGGTGCTACCCTTGCACACAAACTCATACTGACACCCAAATGTCTGCTTCCTTGCATTCAGTGGGGCAGCAGCATGCTCTGGAAATGTGCGCTTATATGCCAAGCACCCAGCCCACCTAGGCATGGGCATGCCTGGCACACAGCACTCATCCATCCACACCCCACCCCCACCCCACAGCACAAGCAGACACAGTCCAGTGAACACAGGGGAATACAGATGCAGCCACACATGTGCAGACCCATGCAGATTCCTACAAACACACACACACACCCCTGCACACATTCGTTCAGTTACCAGACATTGGCTGAGCACTTAATAGATAGCAGACGCTGTGTAGGCTGGCAGACACATGGACACATCGAGATACAGGCATATCTACACACACAGATGCCCACTCAAGCACGCACATTCAGTCACAAACACACCAGCACGTACACACCAGACAACAAACAGGCAGGCACGGCAGCCCTCCAAGCACATGCCCAGCTTGCTTTCTCAGGAAGCAAAGACCGTGGAGGGGCATTGTTTCTAGAGAGGTCTTGCATCAGAGGGTTTTTCCTACAACCCCCTCCCCTGTCCTTTCTGCCTTCCCTGCTCTTGCCTCCACCTTTATCCTTTGCTCCCCCCACCGCTTCATCCTCTCCCCTCCTACCCCTCCTCTCCCTACCAGTAGCTGTCTCAGGGGATGAGTGGCTGCAGTGCTGTGTTGTACTTATAAGAAATGCAACCTGAAAATCTTTCTTGGCTTGCCTTGCTCCAAGCTTTTATCTTCTAATCAGGCCAACATGACTGCCTTGGACTGAGGATACTAATGACCTCCTAGGGTGGTGGTAGGCTAAGGAAAGAAGCATGAGCAGGGGCTTCTGTCCAGATGTCTACTTTCTCCACACCAGCCACATCAGCAAACAACCTAATGGGGCTAGATATTGAGGACAGTGGTGGTGGTGATGATGGTCGCGGTGGTGTCATGTTGGTGCTGACGGTTATGGCGGTGGTGGTGCTGGTGATGGTGCTGCTGGTGAGGATGTTGATGATGCTGACGGTAGTCACAAGGAGAGCCCACAAAAGGAGCGCCTACCTCATTCCAGGCTCTGTTCTCAACTCAAGTAAATTTTTACACTTGCTTTGACAATTGTACAGTGGAGGCTCAAGATCAAACCCTGGTAACCTCAGAGAACACACCGTGCTGACTACCAGATGCCTGTGTGTCTGCGGAGATCCCGCCACCTGGCTGGTTCTTTTTTTTTTTTTTCCTTTTAGTACCGGGAATTGAACTTAGGACCTTGCGTTTGCCAGGTAGGCACCGTGCCACTGAGCTATATCCCCGGCCCAACCCTGCGGGTTCTTTATATAGATGGGACATCTGGGGTGTAGGGAAAACAATGGAGTATCTTCTGGAGGGAGTCGACGCTCTGGGCTTTCCCGGGTAGAAGTGACCTGACCAAGTCTCACTTGCTTGGATTGAAAAAGTGGGGTCAACCAGAAGGCTGACACAAATGCTACCTGTAGCAACAACGCTGGGCACCCACAGGGATACTTGTCCCTGAAAAGACACTGGGCCTAAGGCCTCTGAAAAGGGTCAAAATGCTCTCCACGTGTGGATTTCACTCAGCACATGTGACCTCGTATCCCTATGCCATGTCATAGGCATAAGGTCTAGCCCATAGTAGGTATTCAGTAAATATTCTAAACAAATGGTCCTCACTTTACAGAGACAGAAGCATTAACATCTTCCAAGAATGATCTGTGGTCAAGGCAATAGGCATTTTGTCAGCACCCCAGCACGTGTGAAGTACAGTGTGGAAGAGACCAGCTACCACGGCGAGCATTTACAATGAGGACTGTCCTCCGACTTCCTGCCCAAAGAGGCACAAAGCTGGATTCTTGGGAATGAGAAGTTGGTCACCGCCCTCAGTTATGATTTGAATGTCCATCTTCCCCAATACCTTCCCAATGGCCTGTTACAGCTCCTGACATTCCACCCTCTGAGGTTCATTCCTCAGTGTCCTGATAAAAATCATAGGTGTCCCGTACTGCCAGTGCCTCACTGCCTCCTCTTATTGATCCTCTCATTGATCTGTCATGTAGGATTCCTCATGGTACAGATGAGGACACTGAGCTTCTGAAAGGAGCGGCCACTTGCCCGAAGCCCACAGCTGGGAAAGGCTGAGGCAGGATGGGATCCAGCTTCCTGGCAGATCCGCATTTCCTACCAGAACAGAGGTAATTTTTATGAGAATGTCAGCTCTGTGGACCCAGAGACATAACTCAGAGTGGCTTAAACATGCAGCTGGGCTGCTCTGATGGGTGGTTAATGCCCCGCAGGACCCAAGGATTTTCGTCTTTCTGCCCTGTCCTCTTCATCATCCCTGGAAGGCTGGGGTAGCTTCAAGCCTCAGCCCTTTTACCTTCATTCACTCTTCTGCTCATGACACATGGAGGCACAGTGCAGGGAGATTTGATCAGGTCAGAAAGATGACGGAAGTCTTGGCTGCCCTTGGAAGGGACGCCTCACTCACCGGATCCTCAGTGTTGTAGGGAAAAGTAAAGTAAGGTACGTAGGGGGACAAGGAGTGATGGGATGGGGAAGGTCCCTTAAATGGGGTGGTTGGGGGAGGTCAAACTCTCCAAGGTGGCCTGCGTGAAGAAGCGAGGATATAGGGAAAAATGGAAGCCAGTGACTTGGTGACTGAAGAATTCAAAGAATCTATTATATAATTGATGGGAGGAGATCACATTTATTTGCTGTCTTTTTTATATTTAAGGCCCGTTTTGCAAGAACACACATTATGTCTGTTTTTTTTTTTTTTTTTTTTTTTTTTTGGTTTTTCTCCGGTACCGGGAACCAAACTCACGACCTTGCGCTTGCCAGGCAGGCGCTTTTGCCGCTGAGCTAAATCCCCAGCCCTGTTTTTTTTTTTTAATTAATCTTTACTAGTCCCTGGGAAGAAGAACTAATGATCTTATTCCCCATTTTACAGTTAAGATAATTGAGGCTCAGGGAGGTGAAGTGATTTTTACCCCCCCAAGTTTCATAGTTTATGGAATTATAGGGACAGAACTTGAACCCAGGTTAATAGCAGTTTTGTTTTATTAGATTCATATTTTATTTCCAATGTCATGAAAATAGCAAACTCTTGAGAAGACCGGGTACACTGGCCTTTTTATATTTATGCTTTCAAATTTTATTTATGTACTTAATTTGAAAAATAGATGACATTCTCATAGAACAACAATTCAAAAGTATAAAAGGGTTTACGCAGCAAAGGTTCTGTCCACTCAAGTGGATTAATTACTTCTATGACCTTTTTTTTTGAAGGTTAGAAGGCGCATATTTGTAAAACTGATGGAATGTCACTTTATAAATTTTGGTTGCATAGGTAAAATTTTTCTTTCAACTGGCAGAATTCTTTGGCCCTTGGAACCACAGGCAGGTTTTTGAAAAATGAACCCAAGGGCATAAAAATACTTGGCTTTCTACATTTCTGCCTTTTAAAATTAGATATCTGTGAATGCCAGAGGTAGAATTTAATATCATTAGAAAAGAAAGGACTTCCAAATACATAACTAAATAAGAACATAGACTATATCCTCCCCTGGAAATAGATTTTAACAGCATTTTCTTGGGGTCAATAAAGGACAGTGATATCGATGGACAACTCAGTCCTTCTGGTCTTGTTTATTGTCAAGCCAGGAGAAAAGCAATTGATCTGATGTCAGTCTTAAGTCAGAAAGCCTTTCTCTCTCTCTCTCTCTCTCTCTCTCTCTCTCTCTCTCTCTTTCTCTCTCTCTCTCCCCCCGCTTCCCTCTCACCCTCCCTCCTCTTTGTTTTCTGTCCTTATGACTTCGTTTTCCAGCAAAGACTTGGTGACCAGGACAGAAGCCTCCCTTTTAAATACTAGTTCCACCACGTCACTGTCCCTGATCAGAGATCCTCTGAGGGCTGCTCTCTAAGGACAAATAAAATGTGACTCCCAAGCTGCTCTGCTACCAATCCTCACTGGCCACTCTAGCCAGCCCTGTGCTCTCCATTGCCTTTCCTGCACCTGGGCACAGGAAGTCCCCCTGCCTGACATCCTTTCCCAAGGGCTCTGCTTACGTCACTTCCCCCTAAGCCCAGCTCTCGCACTCACCTTGCTCTTTTCCTGAGTAGTCCTACTCCTTCCACTAGCATCTTCAAAAAACACCTTTGAACCTGGAAATTTCCCCACCTGCCTATGGCTGAGGAGCCTCTGAGAGCCTCAGGAATGAATCTTGGCTCTGAAAATTCTGAGTCTGTGGTTTTTAAGGAAGTCACTCCTCCATCTGGATCTCATTTCCTCATCTGTAAATGAGGCCTGGGACTGGCCATCCTTGGGGGCCTGGGGCTTTGTGTTTTTCTGGTTCTGTGGAAGGCTAGAATTCCCTTCTTCCAGTGTTTCTGTGAGAAACACTCATCACACTTTGAGAATGTTGATTCTGCCCACCCTTATAGACGGTTCTCTCCAAGGGTCACAAAGAGACAATTTCCCTGAGGAAGAAAAGGACCTTGTTCAGAGACAGGAGGACAAAGTGTGAGAGGGTGGAGGCTGGCAGCAAAAGGCCTCAGCTGAATGGACATGCAGGAAGTAGACAAGATTTTTATCAAGTCAGTGGGATCAATAGAATGACCCTCAAGAGGCTCACCTCCGAGATGAGGCAGTACATCAGGAATCTCATTGCAGGTTCTGCATTTGTCCATAAACTTGTCCTTCCCTCCAGCCAGCACAGGTTGATGCCATTTGTCCAGGCATGCAGTGTGTCCTGGGTGTAGTGGCAGTGTGCCAGACTGATGTGGCCCTGACTCATTAGGTGTACTGATAAGCAAACATTTATGCCTCTTCAGTTGCGGTAAGTGCCCGGCCCAGTGATATGCCATCCAGGAATTTAGTCAGGTGTGATATGAAGAACTCTGTCTTGCCCTGGTTATTTGCAAGGGTTCTTCATATAGCCTAGATACCAATCCTTGTTGGGTAGCTAGGTTACAAATATCTCTATCTCTGAGTTTACTATTAATTTGCTGACATGTCTTTTCTGGATATTGAGCATTTTAATGTGGATATTAGCACTGATCCATACTTTTCTTCATGAGCAGTGCTCTGTGTATCAGTACACTTACCTTTGTGAGGTATAAGAATATTTTCTTCTAAAAGTTTTAAAGTTTCTCTTTGCCTTTAAGTCTTTAATTTACTAAAAGCTGGGCATGGTGGTGCATGCCTGTAATCCCAGCACTCAGGGATTGTTGCAAGTTTGAGGCCAGCCTGTGCTACAAAGTGAGTTCAAGGCCAGCCTGAACTGCATAGCAAGACCTTGTCTCGAAAAGACAAAAAAACCCAACAACAACAACAA